TAGATCTACAGAATCTGATCAGATCAGAATTTATAGCAGAAATAAAAAAAATTAAATAAAGTCCAAATAAAAAGTTCTGATGAAGCGATAAAACCTCAAGAAGCTCCAGCAGCTGCTCCTCTTCCTTCTGGACCGGTTCTTAGTGACCCGGTCCAATGATCGACGGAACTTTAGGATCTCTGGTCCGTTCTGTGGACCTTTGGTTTGGACCAGAACCCGACCAGTCAGAGCTGGTACCGGTACTGTCCACACATTGGATCCAGCATCTGGTTCCGACAGTTTGACTGAAAGTTACTGGAAGGTTTTTAGTGTTTTTAGTGAGGAAGGAAAACAGAGACCCGCGGGCCGGACCAGAACTTTACGCCTCCTTTCTGTCAGTCATTGGGCAGAAAGCAGGTGAACGTTTGGACCATCAGCAGCTGATGGTTCTGGAAGGCAGCTAATCTGCAGCAGAACCGACCCAGAAAGCATCAGAACCCTGTGGGTCGGCTGCTGCGCCGCCTCAAAGTAACACTGCCTGCTTATTGCTTGGTTTTCTGAAAAGTGTGGTGTGCTTTTTTTNGTCTTTAGAAGTTTTTAAGTCTGTAAAAAAGAAGTTTTTGAGGAAGAAGAAGAAGTATTTTTATATATTTTTTTTAGACTTTAGAAACTCAGAAGCTGATCAAATATCGGGTTAAATATCGGTGGGGGGGGGGGCGATGTCCGATATTCAGTTTTAAGGCCGATACCGATAGGGGGCCGATTATATCATGCATCTCTAGTTTATCCCTTTAGTTTTGTCTGAAAATTGACTTTAAACTACCTCAAAGTGTGTGTATCCCTTTAGTCATTGTCGTGGGGAAAAGTATTCAACCATTCATCCCAGTTAAATAAACTGAGATTGATGGATTTCACTTTATTTTCTTATCTTTGCAAAGAGAGAACGGTTCATAATTCGACCCCTTAGGCTCAGTAATCAGCCCTGTTCTGACCGGACAGAGTCCGTCTAAAAAACTAATTACTCCCACTTTAACGAACCTTGAGAAACTATTTGGCTTTTCGTAGAAATAAGTATGTTTTGTCTAAACCCCCCACCCCAATTCAGGCACTTTCTCAGCCTTGCAGGTGAAACAAACAGTAAAAACATTTTTCACTGGATAAATAAGTTAACATCTGATAGCCATACGCTTAAAAAAAAAACACCAAAAAGTAATTAAATTGTTTTTTGTAAACAACTAAAGGGATAAACGCCCATTTAGGTCATTTAAAGTTTGTTTTTGATCCCAAACTAAAGGTTATTAATTATGGGTATGCTGGTCTGACAGAACAACGGCAGAGATCCTGGTGGAGGATCATGGGAAATAAAGCGGAACGACGTTAAACTCTGTCCGGCTCTCGGTTCTTCCGGTTTTCCTTCCATCACTCAGACTTTCCTTCAGAAATTTATAAAATCAACAAATTAAGAATAAAGAATCAAACCAATCAGGTTCTGCTGCTACCTGAAGATAAAATTAAACTTCTTTTGTTTTACAAACATCCAACGAAATTCCAGGAATGATTAGTTTGGGAGTCCCTCAAAGCCGAGTCCTCGTGATCCTTTCATTCTCTGGGATTCGCCTTTAAATGGTAAAAAAGAAGTTAAGAACTGAGAGTTTTCTCTGCAGCCGACCTGCAAACCTTCCAGACAAACCAGATTATTTACGGACTGATCAGCCGGTCGGAGCAGATCAGGGACCACAGTCTGACCCGGGTCTCTCCTTCTGACCAATCAGACTGAAGCATACAGGATGTAGCTTCCTGTTGAAGGAGCCAATTCAAACTGCTGCTGCGACGATCGTCGTTCCTGGGATTTTTCTAGATCTACAGAATCTGATCAGATCAGAATTTATAGCAGAAATAAAAAAAATTAAATAAAGTCCAAATAAAAAGTTCTGATGAAGCGATAAAACCTCAAGAAGCTCCAGCAGCTGCTCCTCTTCCTTCTGGACCGGTTCTTAGTGACCCGGTCCAATGATCGACGGAACTTTAGGATCTCTGGTCCGTTCTGTGGACCTTTGGTTTGGACCAGAACCCGACCAGTCAGAGCTGGTACCGGTACTGTCCACACATTGGATCCAGCATCTGGTTCCGACAGTTTGACTGAAAGTTACTGGAAGGTTTTTAGTGTTTTTAGTGAGGAAGGAAAACAGAGACCCGCGGGCCGGACCAGAACTTTACGCCTCCTTTCTGTCAGTCATTGGGCAGAAAGCAGGTGAACGTTTGGACCATCAGCAGCTGATGGTTCTGGAAGGCAGCTAATCTGCAGCAGAACCGACCCAGAAAGCATCAGAACCCTGTGGGTCGGCTGCTGCGCCGCCTCAAAGTAACACTGCCTGCTTATTGCTTGGTTTTCTGAAAAGTGTGGTGTGCTTTTTTTCCCCTTCACCTCCTGAGGCCCCAAAATAAAATCCAGTAGAGTAGCAGCAGCGACTGCAGGGGACAGACAGGATTCATCCTGCAGCTGGACGCTGCATCTGTTCAGAGATCATGGGGCCCTGAGGGGCCCGGGGCCCCTGGTATCAACCTCTCAGGTTTTTAATTTACAGCTGAGAATAAAAAAATAATTTTTTTTTGTTGTTTTTTTTTTAGGCGAAAAAAGGGAAACGTCTGTCCCTCCCCCACCTGTTGCTGTGCACTGCCTGTGAGCTGGCTTATAGCCTCAGCACTGTATAAATGCAGCTCAGTTCTGCAGGAGGTCAAAGGTTAAAGCTATCCGGACCGTCTGATAACGGGTCTGGCAGAGATGCTGCATCCTTTAAGTATTAGAAATACTTCAATATTCTTATTTTCTGCATAAATAAAGATATTTTTTTTTATCTTAATCTGAAACGGTTCCTGAAGAGTTCTACGGGGATAAATCTGGGTCCAGGTTCAGACCCCATGAACACGGAACACTTCCTGTTTCCACATCCGGAACCATTTCCAGGAAAAGCAACAGAATCCGCCTCGTTCTGCAGAACCGGCGGCGAGAAGAACATCCTGAAGGAACCTCGATAAAACAGAAACAAAGAAGCGTTTCCCCGCTTCACCAGCAATAAATAGACCCGCATGTTTCCCAGTAATAAATATGAGCTGGAGCCGGGGTGGGAGGGTGGTCACTCGGCGGGTTTGTCCATCCTATAGACTACAGTGGTGGAGCTGTCCTGGTCGGTCTCAGTGGGAGACACTTTTCTCCAGAGCGGAGCTTTCAGAGTCAGCTCCTGTTGGAGGCTCTCGTAATCCATGGGTCCGAAGATTTGCTGCTGTTTCAACCGACACGGATAATCAGTTAGTTTCAGAACCGCCGCTTCTTTCATCAACACAATCAGACGTTTAACGTTCGGTTCAGGAGGAGCTTAAAGGGGAACGCACATCCGGAGCGCCGCGTCAGGAGGCCAAACACTGCAGCGCCTGCAGGTCTGAGCAGACCGGTTTGGGCCAGCAGGGGGAGCTGTGAGACGTGTGGCGCCTCCGTAGGTGCGTTTCCCTCTGAACCAGAGGAGGTCAGAAGCTTCCATCAAGTCGTCAGCAGGAAGAAACTCTGCATACAGGCTCAACGCTCATCACCATGGAAACTAAATTCATTTGCTTCAAAAATACATTCAGATTTATTCAAACTTTAATTTGCTGTTTTAGTTTTTTTTGATTGAACTTTAGAACCAAAACTGAATTTTCAGTTTCTTTGTGTCACAGAATCAGCTCCTTAATCCAGAATAATCAAAACCAGATTCTTGGATTGACATTTTTTATCAGGTTAAACTAATGAGCTGATTAAATGTCATTAAAGCCTAATTTTCCATCAAAATGATATTTTTTTTTAAATCTACACAAACTCAAGAAAGATGCAGATTAAAATGTATGAAATAAAAATCTTTATACTTTTCTACAGGTCCAAAATATATAAATATTTACTTCTGGTTATGATGCCAACATCGACATGATTCTGCACCAACAACAGGCTGAAGACATGCTAGTAGCTCTGTTATAAATGGCTGCTTCTAAGCGCTATATTTCTAAAATTTAAAACAATAAAAAAAAACAACAAACAAAAAGAAAACGTATTCAGTTTTATGCTACGTTCAGACCGCATGCGCAAAAACACGCGCGGCTGAAGCATCTTTGCTGCTCTAGCTGCGTGGTGGTAAAGTGGTTCTGCTGCGCGGTGGGCGGAGCTACTCTATCCTTTCTCTGCCTGGAACAATGGCGGCTAAATTAGCTGTGATCAGCGGGTAAAAAGTAGTTAGAACCTATGTTGAAGTGAGAAAGGGAGGTCACTGCTAGTTAAAGGTTGACTATTGCTAAGCTTCGTTAGCCAGGCTAAGATTGTTTAGCTAAACAAGTTAGCATTAGCATTGGGGACCTGGCACCCAGCTGGCAGAACAGGATAAAGGAGAGCGCCCCTTAGTGGCCAGATTACCGTTCTTCAGCTACCAGTAGCTGTTAGCTAAGGATGCTAAAGATGCTCTATTTTCATCCACATGTGATTATGAACAAACTGACCACGCTTTAAAATAAAAGGATTTAAAATCCATTAATCTGTGGTTGATTAGTTTGTGGTTAAAGAATCCCATTGTTGGACACAAAGAAACTGAAAATTTATTATAGAACTAAAAAATTATAACAATCAAATTTTTTGAAGCAAAACAAATTTAAAAAGCTAAACTAATTTTCAATTTATTTAAATTAATTTTCAATTTTCATTTGAATCTAAAATTCAAACAGTTTGGATCTGAATCTAATTTAATCTGCTTCTATTTTTAATCCCGTCCAGAACCAGCGGTTAGAACCGAGGTTCTGGAACCTCAGCGGTCAGAACACCAGATGGACCCAGAGATGGTCTGGTTCTGGTTCTGCTCGCTAATATTAAGGCCTGCCTGTTTGGTTGACTGACGGAACCTTCTGACCCGCCTGGTTCTGGGTGGTTCTAATGTTCTGCTGCTTCGGGCCGGGCCCGACAGGAGGGTTGCCTTGGCGACCAGCAGCGGTAACCAGAAGCTCCTTACCCGCTGGTCTCCGCCCTCCTTGCGAGGATCGTGCTTCTTGGCGAAGTGTCTCAGGTTGTCGTAGTTGTGGAAGTTGAAGAGCTCCACCAGGTCCTGAAACAAAACCAGAACCGCTCAGCTTCAGCCTGCAGGTGGCGCTCACACCTACTTCCTGTCAGAACCCGGCGCCGCCGCCTGGGATGCTGTTCATTAACCCACCATCAATAAACCCGTCCAGTTCTGGAACTTTCCGCTAATTAATCGGCTCTTTGGACCTCAGAGAGAAGGAAAGGTTCTGTAGAACCAGGCGGTTCTCTTACCGTGCAGAACTGGATCCCTCGGACCGAGTTGCCCAGTTTGTCCAGCGGAGGCGACCAGCACATGATTCCCATAACGTTGGGGACGACCAGCAGGATGCCTCCGGCCACGCCGGACTTGGCCGGCAGTCCGACCTGTAGGGGATGGATCAGAACCGGTTAGGACATCAGAACGCAGACCGCCACCGCAGCAGCAGCTCGGGAGGAGGCGGAGTCTTCCTCACATGGAAGGCGAACTGTCCGGAGAAGTCGTACATCCCACAGGAGTGCATGAGGCTCAGCGTGTTCCTCACCGCCTCCGGGCTCAGAACGCGCTCGCCTGTGATTGGACAGATGCCGCCGTTGGCCAGGGTGGCGGCCATGACGCTGGCGCTCTCACACGTCACCTCGATGGCGCACAGCTGGAGACGGAGAGGAGACACGACCAAATAAGGACCAGGAAGCGCAGAGTCATCGAGCGTTAAAAAAAACGGCTGGACTGACCTGGAAGTACAGGTCCAGAACGGAGGTCATGTCGGTTCCTTCAGGGAAACACTGCAGACAAACAGAAGCGCAGGTTCAACCCAGCGTTCATCAGAACGTCCAAACAGAACTTCAGCTCCGCTGTCTGTTAGACCAGCGTACCCATAGTCTACACACAGACCGCAAAGCTGACATGCCGTCCCGTTTATCCCT